ACAGTTAAGTCAACAACACCATCAATCAACTGAATAGAATTGACATCTATAGACTACCTCATCCAGTACCAGCAGAATACACATTTCTCTCAAGCTCACATGGAACATTCACCAAGACAGACCACATTCTGGGCCATAAAACCCACCTTAACACATTAAAAAAAAATAGGAAGCATGCAGTGTCAGCTCTCAGACCACAGTGGAATTAAAGTAGAAATCAATAACAGGAAGATAACTGGAAAATCCCCAAATATGTGGGGATTAAACAACACTTCTAAATAACACATAGGTCAAAGAAGAAATCTCAAGAGAAATTTAAAAATATTTTGAACTAAGTGAAAATGAAAATACAGCTTTTCAAAATTTGTGAGATGCAGTGCAAGCAGTGCTTAGAGAGAAATTTATAGCACCGAATGCATATATTAGAAAAGAAGAAAGCTTAAAAGTCAGTAATCTAAGTTTCCAGCTTAGGAAATGAGAAGAAAAGAGCAAATTAAATCAAAGTAAGCAGAAGAAAAGAAATAAGAATAAAAAAACAAGGAAATTGAAAATAGGAAATTTGTAGAGAAAATCAAGGAAACCAAAAGCTGTTTTTTTGAAAAAATTAATGATACTGATAAGCCTATAGCCAGACTAACTAAGGAAAAAGGAGAAGGCACAAATTAACTAGTGTCAGAAATGAAAAAGGGAACATCACTACAGATCCCATGGAAAGTAAAAGGATAATAAAGGAATACTATGATCCCCTCTCACAACTCCTTTGTACTGGAAGTTCTAGCTAACGCATTAAGACAAGAAAAGAAAGTAAATGGTATACAGACTGGGAAGGAGGACATAAAACTGCCTTTGCTTGCAGATGACATGATCATGTACATAGAAAATCCTAAAAATTTGACAAAAACAAACAAACAAACAAATGTCCTGGAACTAATAAGCGATTACAGCAAAGTTGTAGGATATGAGGTTAATACAGAAAAGTCAATCACTTTCCTATATACCAGCAATGAACAGGTGGAATTTGAAATTAAAAACACGATACCATTTACATTAGTACTTCCCCAAAATGAAATATTTAGGTATAAATTCAACAAAATATGTATAAGATCTACATGAGGAAAACTTTTTTCTTTTTTTTTTTTTTTGCGGTACGTGGGCCTCTCACTGCCATGGCCTCCCGTTGCGGAGCACAGGCTCTGGACGCGCACGCCCAGCGGCCATGGCTCACGGGCCCAGCCGCTCCGCGGCATGTGGGATTCTCCCAGACCGGGGCACGAACCCGTGTCCCCTGCATCGGCAGGCGGACTCTCAACCACTGTGCCACCAGGGGAGCCCATACATGAGGAAAACTTTTAAACTCTGTGAATGAAATCACGGAAGAACTAAGTAAATGGAGAGAGATTCCATGTTCATGGATAGGAAGATTCAATATTGTCAGGGTGTTAGTTCTCAGCTTGATCTATTGATATAAACTTAATGCAATCCCAATCAAAATCCCAGCAAGTTATTTTTTTTTTTTTTGGACATCGACAATCTGATACTAAAGTTTGTATGGAGAAGCAAAAGACGCAGCATAGCCAACAAATATTATAGAAGAACAAAGTTGGAAAACTGACACCACCTGACTTGAAGACTTATTATAAAGCTAAGTAATCAAGATAGTGGGGGTGTGGGTGAAAGAGTAGACAAATGGCTCAATGGAACAGGACAGAGAGCCCAGAAATAGGGCCCCATAAGTATAGTCAACTGATCTTTGCCCAAGGAGTAAAGGCAATACAATGGAGCAAAGGTAGTCTCTTCAACAAATGGTGCTGGAACAACTGGACATCCACAAAAACTAACTCAAAATAGATCATGAACCTAAATGTAAAACACAGAACTCCTAGAAGAAAACATAGAAAATCCAGATGACCTTGGAGCGCTGTGATTTTTATGTGGTTCGTGGTTTTACATAGGAAAATCGGTTCATAAAAACAAAATTTGCTTTGTGTGTAATACTCAGAGTCATGATAAAAGCTGGAGGAATAACTCAACTTTAAACTATGTGGCATCTGAGAGGGGAGAATGGGGTGCGGGGGGGACTTCAGCGGGGAGAAGGCAGTTCACACGGAGCTGGGAAAGCACATGTTCGGTGGCAGATGTTTGCTGGGCCCGCGGGGACAGTGGGACACACAGAGGACTCTGCTCTCCCGGCCCTGTGCAGCTCCCCCCAGCACCGACCTGTGTGCTTTGTAGATCTCTGGTGACAGTGCCCTTCCTGGACCAGGGCCTTTGTCTGAGTTTTTTAGGCAGTTAAGGGGCAGGTAAGAAGTGAACTTGCCAAGGATTTTGTTTTTTTAAAAATAATCAGCCTAAAATAATCCTCACGTTGAAGAGACACATATTGGGTAGCAAATTCTATTCCCCTACAAAGTCATGGATGAAGTTTAAAGAGAAGAGAATATTACACTTCTCAAATTTTGCTTCTTAGGTAGTAGAAGCAAAGAATTAATGTCCAGCTCCTGTAGATTGCTGGTACAAATCGGATACCCTTTGAGTGAATTATGAGTTGAATTTTTACTCTATTGATCTTTGTGTTTAGCAAGACTGACTCCATACTCAGATTAACTCACTTAAGTAGCTCTTCTGGCGTCCTATTAGAGATGCATTGCCATCCCCTGAAGAAAAGTCCATAGTCACTTTTCCTCTTGCCTGACAGTGACGTAACCTTAGCCTGAAGAAATTATTCACACCTGTTATTATTTCCTACTATAAAGATAGGCGCAGTGTCTGCTTTCTGCATCTTTCTGGCCTCTTTTTGGAGGCCGCGTAGCCTCACAGTAGAGAGAGAAATGGACCTGAGCCCCGGCCCGTGCAACCTGCCCGCTTTGCTCCTGAGCAGGTGATTGCAGCTTTCCCTCCCCTGTCGATGGAGATGAGAATGCCCACTCCCAGGATGCTGCAGAGGTGAGAGGATAAGGGTGGGCACACCTGTACTCAGGCTTCCACGGTGGCCCGGGAACAAAGTGCAGACATAGCCACCTTTGTGTGTTCCCAGCCCCAGGCTACTGGTGTCCGGACTGCCCTGTGCCTGGGGTCACACAGGACTCAGAGGCAGCTTGGGTGAATCTCAGGAATGTTTTAATTGACCACATTTGATGTCAGGACAGCAGACCACAACCCTTTACAAGCCGAACCCAGGAGCAGATTTTCTCCAAAGCTTCGCGCAGGCTGGGTTCTCTCTCTGTAGGACAGGATCTTTTTCAGTTGCGCCTCGGTTCGGCTTCCTCTGAATTTAACAACCCACATGCCATAGCAAACAACAATTTCAGGAAAGCCTGAGGAGGAAATTGATTCTTCTGTCCGCGGGTCCCATCTGGGCTCTTCTCCCAGTAGACTTGGTATCCTGTGACCTACCTCAAGTAAGGCTCGCAGAGTTCCATCTGGGATTCTTGATGTGCGGGTTTTTAGTTGAACCCTTTACATCTATGGGTGTTCTTGTCCTTTGCTTAAATCCTAGCTTGCATAAACCCTACTTAGCAGACAAGGAAAGGGGGCCCTGGTTTTTGTACTCACCGAACAGTAAGGTCGTGAGGAAGGGAATGCCCCGTGGCCACCTTGTATGCAGGGAAAAAATGAGAGTGTAGTGGATGGAGCATTATTATTTATCTGTAATAAAGACCTTTGACTAGGAAAACAAGAACAGAAGACATTGGGGAGGAAGCTATGGCTGGGCGTGTTTTTTGATTTTTGTTTAAAAAAAATTTTTTTTTTAATGTGGACCATTTTTAAAGTCTTTATTGAATTTGTTACAATATTGCTTCTGTTTTATGTTTTGGTTTTTTGGCCGAGAGGCAGGTGGGATCTTAGCTCCCCGACCAGGGATCGAACCTGCGCCCCCTGCATTGGAAGGTGGCGTCTTAACCACTGCACCGCCACGGAATCCCCCTGGGTGTGTTTTTAAATTCTCTGCTGGAACAGCTCTTCTTCCCTCTGTTTTAATCCCCCTGCTGTGACCCTACTTCTGCAACGCCTCTTATATGAGGAAATCAGTTATCTTCCCCACGTCCCGGTATTCACTGTTGTCCCCTGAGTATTAGTTGGGTCCTGGCCTGGGAGATGAACCACAGCCCTAAGGGACTAGATCCACCTGGCGGTTCACAGCGTGAGCTCTGGGCAGCTTTGCCAGGCTCCGGAATGTAAACCCAGTCCCTATTCCAAAACTCAAGCTTTTCCCTTGTTATAGGAGGGGATCTTTTAAATATTCTTAAAAGATCTCTTTTTCTGGTCCTTATTAGGTAGTTCAAAAACGAAAGTTTAGGCAAATCCTCCATAGGAAAATAGGGAAAAGACTGTTTTGTGTCCTGGAATCAACAGTGTATCTGTGCGATTTAGAGTGAAGCATACACACACCATTCGAGTACTTTTCTGAAGTAGAACGTCACCTAAAACGTTTGCAGGCCCCACTGCTCTAAGCCACAGCTGCCCCGCCTGTAAAACGAGAATGCTGCTCCTGCCAGTGCAGAGTGAGTGCTGGGCAACTGGTAGCTCTGATGAAGTGTCGTGATCCTGGATGTTATTCTCAGTGATTGTTTTCATGTGCTCTTGTGTAAATCCTTAGAGATAAACACTTGTACTTTCTAACGTCAGGAAATTTGTTTCTCAAGTATCAGGCCACTTACTTGGAATCATACGTACGTTGATTTTGAACTTGTTAGATTGCAGAAGTGGTGGCAGCAGACACAACTCTCTAAACAGGAAAGCAGACGTTGCCAGTGATCGGATGCAGAATTACTTGTTTGTGTGTGTCATGCCTTGTTTGTCTGTGGTTCATGGAGTGTTTAAAATTCACACAGTACAGGTACTTTTGAAATTTGGACAAGATTAGTTTTCTGGGGCTATTTTACTAGTTTTTAGATGTTAAAGTAAGCATAGACGACAGTGTATATTGTCCTTCAATTTTGAAAGAGATTCTTTGTTGTTTCAGTTCTAATCTCCCTTGCTATCTCCTTCCTGTGTTTCAGGGAATATCTTGGTAAACAGCTCCAGTCTGAGCAACCGCAGACTGCAGCTGCCCGGAGCTGAACGGACGCTCAGCCTCGGGGTCTCCAGCGCCCCTTCGCCTGGGGCAGAAGACCTGGAGTGTGAGTCTCAGTGATTAAGGTCAAGAACAAACAATTTCTCATTTTACGAGTCATTTTCTTCTGTTGTGTAGCTTTCCCCAGTGCTGATTTCAACACGAGTGTTTGCCCGTTACTTCGTATTAAAGTAGGTGCTCTCTGTATCTAAGGAAAATATTACTGTTACATATACTGCTTGTAATTTCTGTATTTATTGTTCTCTGGGAATGAATATAGAATTATTAAAGGATTCTCACTCCAGATATGTTTTTGTCTTTCCTTGTTCCTGACTTCGCCTTTAACACAAATACCTCTTGTCCCAACCAAATTGGGAGAATTGCATTTGCAAAATAGTGAATGGTAAATAAATGTTTTGAAATTATATGTATCTCTGTCTTCCATCCGTCCGTCCATCCACACATACACACTGCGGCAATCCTCTGCTAATATTCAGAGAACTTTAAAATGTTAAATTAACTCGACGTGATGCTGTGGTCTAGAAGATTTGCTTATGGAGCACAGTGAGGAATTTTAGCTTTAGATTATTTTCATTGATTTCCTGTACTTTTATTCTTGGATTTTGGTACCTCGAGTCTATTTTCTTTTAATACGCTTTGGTTTAAATGTTGCCAGTAGATATTTTATCCCACCCCCAGCCCCAGCCCCTTGTTCTGGAACGCCAGGCCTTCAGCGTGGCATCCATGGCCTGTACGTTCACGTGCCCCATATCTGAGCCTTTTGTTTTAAACCTTATGGCCTGGTCTCTCTGAGTCTCATTTTTCATTCATTTTCATTTTATTTTCACTTTTCATTCCTAGCAGTTCTCTGAATGTTGAGTTGTTGAGTAAAGGTTGTAAGGCTAATAGACAGTTTATTTGATAAGTTTTTCTTCTACAGAGAGGCACTCATAGGATCCATCTCCTGTTTAAGGATGAAGGATTGTCTCATTTTCAATGCAGAGATCTTGTGGGAAGAGTTAGTTGAAATAATGGTCGTCGGTGGGTTCATGTGACTCAGTGATTTTTCTTAGAGTTGACTTCCTATTTTCTAAGAAAATAGGTAGTCTGATCAAACCAATTTTTTCTTGACTGAAAGTTCTAAATTTTTAACACTGCTTAGACCCAGACATTTTTACTTCTTAAACATGGAAGAATACTAGCCAGTGGAATTATAGATTCTGCATTAGTAAAGGATCAGTTTTCATGTTAAGGTATTAATGGTCTGCAAAGTTATTAGGTTCTTAAAACACTCAATTTCTAGAAGTTCTGGTAACCAGAGACAGTGAAATCTTCTGAATTTCATAAGAACACGTTGATTCTCTGATGTCGTACTTTCTGATTTTAGTTTCATTTTGCATAGCCCTGTAGTTACAAAGTAGACAGTCATCCTGGTGGAAATCATTGGTGCTCTAATCCCCGAGAAGTGCTTTTGTACATGGGGGGCAATACTCCCATGCCCATGTTTTAATTATTATCCCAAATATTAAAATTAACTCTCTCTAGGCACTTTTTTCCTTTTAAATCTTCACACTCAGCTTATAGAATTATAACAATTACAAAACAATCACTTTCATTTTTTTCTGTGCTTAATGTTTTTAACATTCAGTGATTAAATCCTCCTATAAATATAATGCCACTTATACTTTCAAGTAAACCGCAAACACGAACAGAGTGGAGTTCTAACTCGGACAAACAAAATCTAAGTAGGTAACCCTTTTTTTAAAAAAAGACCAGCTAATCATTTATTCTATCCATTGACAAGCTATAAGCCATATTTGGGTACCCAAGTGTCAAATTCCAAATCTGTTCTGAGAATCACCTCTTTTTTTCTTTTCCTTCCAGTTTTATTGAGATATAATTGACATGCAGCACTGTGTTAGTTTCAGGTGTGCAGCATGATGATCTGACTTAACATGCATCATGGGATGATCATAGTAGGTTTCATAAACATCTATCATCTCGTATAGATACAAAATTAAAGAAATAGAAAAAATATTTTTCCCTGTGATGAGAACTCCTTAGGATTTACCCTCTTAACAACTTTCATATATAACATACAGTGGTGTTAGTTATATTTATCATATTGTGTATTATATCCTAGTGCTTATTTATCTTCTGACTGGAAGTTTGTACCTTTGACCACCTTCATCCAACCCCGCTCCTTCCACCCCCTACCTCTGGTGACCAGACGTCTGATCTCTTTTTCTATGAGCTTGTTTGTCTTGAAGTACAGTTGACCTGCGACACTGTGTTAGTTTCTGTTACACAACATAGTGATTTAATATTTCCATACATTTCAGAGTGATCGCCACAATAAGTCTAGTTACCATCTGTCACCATATAAAGATATTACATAGGGCTTCCCTGGTGGCGCAGCGGTTGGGAGTCTGCCTGCCGATGCAGGGGACGCGGGTTCGAGCCCCGGTCCGGGAGGATCCCACATGCCGCAGAGCGGCTGGGCCCCCAAAAAAAAAAAAAAAAAGATTACGTAATTATTGACTGTATTCCTCACACTGTACACATCATACTTGTGGCTCACTTATTTTGCAACTGGAAGTTTGTACCTCTCTCACCTGTTTCTCTCCTCCCCCATCCCCTCCCCTCTGGCAACCACCTGTTGGTTCTCTCTATCTATGACTCTTGTTTCTATTTTGTTACATTTATTTGTTTTTTAGATTCCACATATAAGTGAAATAATACAGTATTTGTCTTGCTCTGACTTACTTAGCATAATACTCTCTAGGTCTATCTGTGTTGTCACAAATGGCAAGATTTTCTTCTTTTTTTATGGATGAGTAATATTCCACTGTATATATATACCACATCTTTATTTGTCTATTGACGGGCACTTTGGTTGCTTCTATATCTTGGCAATTGTAAATAGTGCCGCTGTGAACACTGGGGTGCAGGTATCTTTTTGAGTTAATGTTTTCATGTCCTTTGGTTAAATACCCAGAAGTGAAATTGCTGGATTGTATGGCAGTTCTGTTGCTAACTTTTTGAGGAAACTCCGTACTGTTTCCCGTAGTGGCTGCACCTATTTGTACTCCCACCAGCAGTGCATAGGGTTCTCTTTTTCTCCACATTCTCACCAGCACTTGTTCTCTCTTGTCTTATTGATAATAGCCATTCTAGCAGGTGTGAAGTAATAGATCATTGTGGTTGTGATTTGCGTTTACTTGATGATTAGTGATGTTGAGCATCTTTTCCTGTGTCTCTTGGCCATCTGTATGTCTTCTCTGGAAAAATATCTATTCAAGTCCTCTACCCATTTAAAAATGATTTTTAACTTGTTTTATTGTTTAAAAAAATTTGGGGGGGGAAACTTCTCTTTTGGGTTTTATTGACCCTTATATTTTAAAAGATGTGTGAAAGGGACATCTCCCCGACAGGTAAAGCTTGTTCCCTCACATTGTACCTGGACAGTCACAAATACCAGATTTATAGAACATATCCAATTGAAAAAAATCTTCACACTTCCTGTTTAGCCACGTCGGAGTAATTGAGGTTAGTTTTTTATATAGTTAAAATGTAAATAATTTTGTACCTTCTAGGTGTCAAATCTTGGAAAGCACAGAGCCAAGTTTTGATGCTTTTGATTTATTTGATAATTGCTTAAAAGGTGCTCCATTCTCATCCTTTGCCTTTGAAAATAGAGAATATTTGAGACTAAAATTTGAAAACATTCAAAGTTAGTAGGTGTCAGTCACTTTCCAAATCTGAACCTTGTGATGAAATCACTTTTGAGCTTGATATTTCTCCCTTATTTTGCTGCACACAGTGTTCGTTCTGGTTAAGAGATGTGGCTCCTTTAACTTTCTGAACAAGTTTCCAGTGGAACAGTCAGTTGGAAAGAAGACTGACTTTTACTGCAAATGTTATGTTACTTCAACATTCATGCAAATCTGACACTGAAGACACATTCTCTTTCTATTCTTAGAAGAGAAAGAGAGTTGATTACTCTTCCAAAAATAGAAAAAAAGTGGAAGAAACATTTCTATGATTGAAGGAACGCTGGTTCTAAGATGCTTTACCTTCTGGTAACTGTCTGTACCTTTGTCTCTTTCCCCTCTCAAAGGAAGAAAGAAAATATCAGGGAACTTAGCTGAAAGAACCAATGTACAAAAACTATTGAATAACCATGTATCAGGTAGAAATAACATATTTGCAACAACATCACAAAGGTTGCAAGGAGGAGGAAATGGAATTATACTCTCATGAGGTTTTTACATGATACATGAAGGGGTATAACATGTAGACTGTGATGAATTAAGGATGCACATTTAATTCCCTAGAGCAGCCATTAAAACAATAAACTAGGAGGTCCAGCCAAAGAACCATTAGCGAAGATAAAATGGAACACTAGAAATACTTGATTAACCTGAAAAGAGGTCAGGGGGAACAGAAACAAAGGAGAGAGGGGCCACATAGAAAACAGAGTGCAGGAAAATAGGTGTAACCCAACAGTAACAATAACTACGTTACGGAAGGGGTCTGGGAATCCCACTGTTACACATCCAGAATTTTAACTTCGGGACACCAGTTGGCTCCAGTTCCTGAGACTGGGGAAGAGGGGGTGGGTGATCTGGAGTGCTAAGTGACTTGCTTCTATCACCTTCCCACCACCCCGCCTACCCCTTGGCAGGCTGTTATTAAAGGAGAAAAGCAGAAACCTAAGTCAGTTGCCATCTGTCCATCTGCTCTCCTGTATTTGCTGTCATCTCTCTTGTTCTCTTTGTCTTTGTGGGTTTATTCCTTTTGATTTGTTTTTGTTTATTTCTTTTTTTATCCATTGGAGCATTTGAGTGGGGTTGGGTAGAAAGCCGAGAGAAAGGCATGTGTTTAGTTCACCATGTTTAACCTGAACTCCCAAAATTTAATCAAAGTTGACGTGTAAGATCCATATTAGAATAAGCCTAGATTAACCCTGGGAGTAAGGGGGCAGATGTGCCAGCGTGTATGGCCTCAGAGTTGGACGGATTTTTGAGTCTGTCCATTCTAACAATGTTTAACATTTGAGGTTGTGTGAATTAAAATTAGTATGTGTAAAGGAGTGAGAACAGATTGTAATCATTACATGTGACTATTTTATGTGGCATGATAGATATCCTGCCCCTTCTCAGTGTATACCAGTGACAGGCCACCTGTTTTATTGCAAACAGCTCTAGTTAAGAGTGTTTTCTTGCTTTGAGACAGTATCAGTTTCTAGTCAATTTCAGCATTTGGGGCAAGGTCTACCTTTGGAATAACACAGAACAAGTCCTATATCCGTAAGATTCTATTTTCTTCTAAAACGTTTCTTCTACAGTAATTATTCTTGGCATTTAAAATGTCTCTATTTGATGCTGAACATCTGAGACCAGATTCTGATGGAGTAAA